TCTGTAAGTTTCAGTGCAGTCACTTCGTGATACTGTCTGAAACCCGCCAACAATAATTCGATCACCCGGCAATGTCCAAGTTTCTCCCAGTAATATTGCGTCGCTGGTAGTGAAAACTTCATCCTTTGCAGTCTGATGACTGTGCTTTGCGAAGCTTTGAACGTTGTGGTAAACAATTTGAATACCGCTGCGTGTGCAAAAACTTTGGTTGTAATGCGCACTGCTTCTGTCGCCTTAGCTCCGCTGTCAGTGGTTCGTTGTTCTGCGGTCATGAGGAGGCTGAAACAATCCAATGATGAGGAGGCCGGAAAGTGAACTTGTGAAAGTGCAACATAGAGAAGATCACGCGTCATTCTTGCTGTAAGGTGAACGACAACAGATGGATACGTTTGACCCTCTCTCTTATGTATCGTCATTGCCTCCGCGGGTACCAATGGAAATTGCTTCCGGAGTACTTGTAAATTTGACGATTTGTTTCGCTTGATTGATACTACTGTTGGTTCCAGCGAGTCCAGTTTCGGGAACACTGTAAGTGGTTAATGATAGGGCTATATCGCCTTCGCGCACTGCTTCCAGCTTCTGGTTCATCGAAGGCGATCCAGACTCGCAACCGTTTTCCCGAATCAGTTTGTCGACTTCGCTCTGGATGTTGGGAACCCATATCAGTTCTGACCAGCTGGCCTGTTGCACTGTTTATAAGGCCGTCGCTTGTATCCAAATTGTAAGTGATCATGTATCTGCCTCCGACTTTCAAATGCAGTGTTCGAGGCAACCCATTGTTTGATGCGTTGTCACCCGCTCTTTGTTTACACTCATAAGCATACTTCTTTTTGCAGCCGCAGATCCGTCGTGTACTATGCGGTCGGAAGCTTCGCATACAGCTCCGTCTCCGGGCAAGCTTCTCAACACTTTTTCATTCCACTGGTCCACTTGCACATTCCTTGGAAACAAGAAAACAGGTCTGCGACTGAGAGCTTCTTGAGGAACTTCCGAGAAAGTGCGAGAATGGAAGAGCGCTGTATCTGCTGCTGTAAGCTGTCCATGCGCCAGATTTGTTAACGCCTGCTTGAACTGGAGCTCATTTGGTCGTATTGCTGTGTGAAGTGTGTAAACTTGGAACAAGTGCCATAACGGTCTTCAAAGCGCATCCATACATGCATTACGAGATGTACTCCCGTATACCCGTGTCGCCATCACTGGCCGCAATTGATGGAAATCGCCAACCGCAATAACACTTTCACCTCCGATATCCGCGTCTCCGAAGAAGTGATGCAGACGCATATCCATCATACGCAGCATAGACTCTCCCACCATAGATATTTCGTCTATAATGATAACTTGCAAGCACTGTAATCTGGTAGGCATATTGCGCGAATCAGAACAATTTTTCCTACTCCTGCTCTACCGGTTACAAAGTGATATATTAGCTCGCTGCTGCGTTTGAAATGCGCTGCAATGTGCATTACATAGTCTTTCTGCTCAGAATTCAGCGAGTTCAGCATATTTTCAAATTCTGCCTGCGACACTTGATTTGGAAAATCTTCGCGTATTGAATTCGCTCATATTGCCCATCTTCAACATGAACCACTTCCGGCTCATCAAGGTTATAATTGTCAAAGTCAAATGGGGGTGCAGCTGGATCCGTCTTCGTCTCTGTTTCTCTAGCTTTCGCATCGTTGTGCTTGCTCCATGGCATCCTCCAATACACTGTTTGTGAAACAGTGGCACTTCTTCCTATTTTGCATTATTTCTTCACGATTCGTACCGAACAGCGCTTCGCAGTCGGCATTTACAATCTCCTATTCTTCATTTCGCCAGGGGTAATAGAGCATCACTAGCTCTGTATAGAACTGCTGTGGTTCAGTTTGAACACTGTACATCCGATAGCGAATGACTTTGGTTTCAACCGTTTTCTGATGTATCCTGCGCGATCCATCAATTCAATGTAGTGTTCATGTGCGGAGCGTCATCAGTTTCATCACTGCTGTCTGCATCTTCATCAACCGCTGGAGCAGGCTGTCGAGCTGCTCGTGGCCAGGTTTTGTAGTAGTTGTAGCAGGCGGCGAAATCGGCGAGTGACATTCCTTCCAATTCAGCCGGTCGTTCCGTATAGTGTTCGATTATGCCATGTACGAAATAGTCATCAGAAGCTGGGTCCAATGTGTGGAGCTCCTACTGCGGCTTCATAACTCTTTTTTTTTTATTTAAGGGTAATTTCGCCACATGCTTTTTATTTACTTACTCGCTCATCTGGCAGTGAAGTTTGTGTGAATATGACCTTTTCGGAGCACTGCGACATTGGAATTTGAAGAATACCGTAATTTGCTTCTTGAACCGAAAGCTCTGTGGTGTTATAATGGGCTGTGCCGATGCTTTGCACTGCTTGCCTTAGGCTGTTGTTACCTTTCCGCAGCTCTTTTACTATATCTTCTATCGTTCTGCTTACTCCCCTATCGCTCTTATTGATGTAATCGATAATATAGGAAGCGCATGCGTATGGATCGAGCACATACTGCAGATCTATGTTTGATCTAATAGTTGCTAAAATTTTCGGGGAAAACGGATTGATCATAATGTCCGAAGGAGATCGTTGCGAAAATACTTCGCATCTTCGCAGTTCAGACCTTATTGCTAGCAAATATTCCTCCGCAGAAATTTTGCATAGACCGAGAAACTCGTCCAAGCTCTGGCCGTCTTGATTTTCGCTCTGGTTCATAACAGCCTTTATTTGCTGCAGCTGTCTGGCAAGACAATGGCGATCATTTACATTGACTGTCTCGAGTAGTGGCTGTAGAATGTGAGTTTCGCGCATTTGATAAAATGGGATTCCGAATCTGCACCCCTCTGATCCATGTTTGCGACAGATACGTTCATGCCTGTGGTACTGGAATAAGATGTAATACGGTCTGTTCTGTGATTCTTGTTGCGCCACATCGCTCATTACAGACAAGCATCCAATAATACCATCTATAAAATCGCACACTTTACGCTCATTCGATCCTGCCAGTGCGTCAAAAACAGGCGCACCCTTAAGCCAGAGAAGCTGATGTATATGGGTAGACCCTCGTTGTTGAAATTCCACTCTGTGGTATGAATGAGTAACACTCTTTCCTCCAAATGGACCTCCGGCTAGGTTCCAAAATTTTGTTTGCTCCTTGCAACGATAATCGAAATAGTGAGCGCACGTAATTGGATCTGACTGAATTAGTCGCAATTTTTCAGCGTACGGCAGGGCAAGTGCTTCATCTGAGGTGACAGATTCATTGTCTACAACTTTTTTAAATCTGCTACAGTTCATGCCACTGCGTTTCCGCTGCTGAAATAGCTAGGAAGAATGTTGGCAACCCAAACTGTCTGACCATTGCCAGTACCTTCTGTTTCTCGTTATGCCAATGCGTACAAGAGTTTCGCACGCCAGCGAGAACTTGATACACATCATCGTGTTGCATTAGCCCGTGAATGAAGTCGTGATTAGTGATACTGGCCGAGTTTATATCATTATGATTACGAATTCTTCTCTTCCGGAGGAATACTGCCATATTGGAGTCTGAGCAATTCGGCCTTTTTCGCCACAAAAAGCAAACAATCGGGACGTCGCGCTATTTGTCGATCGTAACGCATAGCAAAAGATTTGGAGATATATGCATACGACATTGGTCGACCTTGAAAAGTAGGTTTTAATTTCCTACCGCCAAAAATTGTTGGAAATGATAAATACTCCGTGTCTTCGTCCAGAAGAAGCGAAAGAGGCCTATGCCCTTCAACTGGTGCCATCCTTATACCGCACTGACTATCATCTGTCATTAAAATGGTCTCTTGAACACCCAGATTAACAGGCTCTGCTTCTTCTACGCCCTCATTTTCCTTCGATTCCTTCGGTTCTATGTTCACATCTGCAACCGCTACTTGGTTGTGCTGTTGCAACCAGTTTTCTGAGATCCCAATGATGTGAGGCTGGTAAAAAGGCTGATGGGGAAGATACCCAGTAATTTCCCACGCAAGATGTGGTCGTACATTACCAGAAATATAATTTCTTCTATACTGCATCCGTCACACTATGCGAACATGCACAACAAGAGTGCCCGTTGGAGGGCGAGGTAGCATCGATACTGTTGTATCTACGGAAACTGGGGCGTTAATAATTCCACCCCTACATCGAAACTGTTCAGTTGGACCAAATGAAGGCCAAATTGTTTGGAAGATATGGCGAGCCGCTACTATTCTCTCTTCTAACCGTGTCAAACGAGGTACTGAGGGGAAATCCAGCCTATTTGAAAGGCAATAGCGAGGCCGCTTCCACTGCCTTATGCTTTCAGCACAAGTAGAACAAAAAGACCCCTCATCATTGTGACACAAATAAAAAACGCGTTTATAAGGTCCGTTCGAGCTCGGTTCTCATTGCTTGCGTGCAAAAGATTTGATTTAATAAGTTTTACAATAGAACGTTTGAATACCAATCGACCGCAACAAATGCAAACCTGGGTTGGACCCTCCTTGATTGCATTGTTATACGTAAATACACCAATATCATAAGTATTTCTTTGCTCTTTCGCGCTTCCCGATCCTTAATGCGTTCTGGTGCTCGCACTTCCACCATGGCTTTTCGATGCTGCATTCGCAAGACATTTTGTTCATGCTCTCTTTTTCTTCCCCTCTCAGACCCGGACTCGCACTGCCGCATTGTTTGCCTCTCTTTCTCTTTCTCTGAAGTCTGCGCCTGCACCTCTACGGTTTCTTATTGCATCAGAATTTACTTTTCTTCCCCTTTCTCTGAATTCTAAATCAACAGCCCTGCGGGTCTTTATAGCTTCAGAATTCGCTTCTCTTTCCTTTTCTCTAAATTCGGAATCAACAGCCCTCCGAGTCCTCATAGCTTCAGAATTCACTTCTCTTTCTCTTTCTCTGAATTCCGAATCAACCGCCCTGCGAGTCCTTATAGCTTCAGAATTCACTTCCCTTTCCTTTTCTCCGTATTGCGAATCATTATCTCTGCGGTTTCTCATTTTTTCAGAATTCAATATTCTCTCCCTTTCTCTGTATTGCACGTCGAAGCCCCTGCAATTTCTCTTTGCTTCGGAGTTCTGCAGTCTTTCCCTTTCTCCAAATTCCGGGCTGACATCTCGTCGAACTCTTATAGCATTCGCGTTTACCGCACGTTCAGAACTTCTTTCTTCCGTCTGCACCAACGAATCCTCATCTTGAAATTGCTCAAAATCATTTCTCTTTCAACATACGCGGCATCCTCTTCTCGTAGAACTCTCATTGCGTCGCGATTTGCTTCCCTTTCTCTTTGTGCGTACCCCAATTACTTTCCCTGCGCAATCTCATAGCTTCCAAATTCGTCGCTCTTTCTCCTTCTCTATATTCCAAATCAGTCTCTCGGCGAGACTGCATTGCTTCACTATTCGTTTGTCGCTCTCTTTCCCTATATTCTTGGTCGCTTGTTCTGCGCAACTGCATTGATGCGTTGTTTGACTTTCTCTCTCTTTCTCTATATTCGAAATCAGTTCCTCTGCGAACCCTCATAGCTTGCGTGTTCGCAATCCTTTCCCTTTGTCTGCAGCTTTCCACCTGCCGCTTCAACCGCTACGTTCGGCTGCTCTGCTTGCTTCGGCCTCTTTAAAAGCTGGATTGCTTCTCGCAACACGCTTTGCTACGGCATCCCTTGCTCTTTCAAGCGCCCGATAGCTATCTTGGCGCATTGCGGCGTAAACCACACCTGCAATCATTACATGCGTTAGTTCGTTGAATATTATACACATGCAGTATCTGCTGTCTTACCCGAAGGCCCTTGCTCCGCAAAGTTGTTTCCTGTTGCTTCGCCACAGCTATTTCTCCTTGCAGTTTCACAGGAGACCGGAGTAAAATTTTAATAATATATTTTAATATGAATGATGATATGTGATGATGATGTGTGAGTTTATGCAGTGGAAGCGTGTGTGTAAACGAAGTAAACTATGATGAGCCCTATCGTACTTGTCGTATATACCCAGAGGAGGTTATTAGATCGTAGTTGAGTAGCAGCGGTATAACTTTGATAATATAAA